GGATTCAAGCGGTTCTCCTGACTCAGCCTCCCGAGTAGCTGGAATTGCAGGCATGCACCAACATGCCCAGCTAATTTTTTTTTTTTTTTTTTTTTAAGTAAAGACTTGGTTTCTCCATGTTGGTCAGGCTAGTCTCAAACTTTCAACCTCAGGTGATCTCCCTCCTTGGCCTCCCAAAGTGCTGTGATGACAGGTGTGAAATGCCATGAAGACACTAACTTTCTAAAAGTCTCTGTCTTTAGAGCTTTTTAAAGTTCAAGGCCAAGTGTGGTGGCTCATGCCTGTCTTCCTGACACTTTGGGAGGCCGAGGTGGGCAGATCACTTGAGGTCAGGAGTTACAGGCCACTCTGGCCAACACGGTGAAAGACCCGTCTCTATTAAAAATACCAAGAAAATTAGTGGGGCATGGTGGCGCGTGCCTGTAGTCCCAGCTACTCAGGAGGCTGAGGCAGGAGAATCGTTTGAACCTGGGAGGCGGAGGTTGCAGTGAGCCGAGACCGCACAACTACACTGCAGCCTGGGTGACAGAGAGACACTCCATCTCCACACACACACACACACACACACAAATTAGAATACTTTAAATCATTTAATTAAAAATACATCTCAATTTGATGGCTCCTATTAAAAATAAATGTTGCATCTCTCAGGCAAAAGGTTCCAGCCTATGCGCAAATAAAAGACAGAAACACACGCGTATATACACACGTATGCTTCTTTATTGTCATTTTCACAAGTGGTTCTGACGGCAAAATGCCTGCCTTTTACCCTGAGAAACTTCTCACGAATTAAAGAGACTCCTCTTGAGCACATTTTCCACCTGGTTGGGAGGATTTTTAGAAAGTGACAGCAGGCTGGGTGCACTAGCTTACTCCTGGAATCTGCGCACTTCGGGAGGCCGAGGTGAGGGGATCAGTTGAACTCACGATGGCCAGCATAGTGAGACCCTGTCTGGGCAACCTGGTGAGACCGTGTCTCTACAGAATAAAAAAAACAAATCGGCCAGGCATGGTGGTGCATGCCTGTGGTCCCAGCTAATCAGGTCAGGAGGCTGAGGTGGGAGATTCCCTTGAGCCCAGGAGGCTGAGGCTGCGGTGGGTTACGGTCGTGCCACTGCACTTGAGCCTGGGCGACGGTGAGACCCTATCTGTGCCAACAAAACAATAGTTTACAGCAAAACTTGACAAGCTATACTTCAGGAGATCGACTTGTAATTCCCAGCACACAGCAGCCAGCTGTGGACTTCCTGATGAGGCACTGATGGTGTGCTACAGTCTCGCTGGGTCGCCGGGGCAGGAGTGCAATGGCTGCGGTCTTGACTCCCTGCAACCTCCCCCTCCCGGGCTCACATGACTGTCCTGCCTCAGCCTCCCGAGTAGCTGGGATTACAGGGACCCGCCACCACACCCAGCTAATTTTGTGTTTTTAGTAGAGATGAGGTTTCACCATGTTGGCCAAGCTGGTCTCGAACTCCTGGGAAAACTTCCTCAATCTTTTCTTAAAGAGAGACATAGGCACATATATGTCTTCTCTGGAGCCCAGGCCCTAGAGAGCTGATACATTCATCGACTCTTCAAAGAATCCCTCCAAAGCAACAAGACATGAAGGAACACATTCAAAGCCAGGCAACCAACTTTGAGAACGTGAGCAGAACGGCAAGATGGCAGCAGGCAGAGAACATAAAATAGGAACACTGGCCGCATGTGCGAGCCGTCGTTCCCCATCCTTCTTACCAGCTGGCTCTGCGCTGGTGTTCCGGTGACTCTCCATGTCCACCTCCCCTTGTTCTGCTGAAAACAAGAAGGAAACACGCAGAGAGGCTCAGTGCAACAGAGAACCCACTCCTCAGAATGCACGCCAGACAACTGGGCTTCTCTGAGATTGACGCTCCTATCGCTTGGACCAGAGTGCTCAGTTCTAAACCCCAAACCCTCTGGAAACATTGAGTCTAACGCTCATCTAAGTGATGACTTTGCCAGTATTTTTTTTTTTTTTTGCCTCATTGCATATGTTTTTATTTATTTATTTATTTATTTATTATACTTGAAGTTCCGGGATACAGGTGCATAACATGCAGGTTTGTTACACAGGTATACACGTGCCATGGTGGTTTCCTGCACCCATCAACCCGTCATCTACATTTTAAGCCCTGCATGCATTAAGTATTTGTTCTAATGCCCTCCCTCCCCTTTCTCCCCACCCCCTAACAGGCCCCAGTGTGTGATATTCCCCTCCCTGTGTCCATGTGTTCTCATTGTTCAACTTCCACTTATGAGTGATAAAATGAGGTGGTTGATTTTCTGTTCCTGTGTTAGTTTGCTGAGAATGATGGTTTCCAGCTTCATCCATGGTCCTGCAGAGAACATGAACTCATCCTTTTTCATGGCTGCATAGTATTCCATGGTGTGTATGTGCCACATTTTCTTTATCCAGTCTATCACTGATGGGCATTTGGGTTGGTTCCAAGTGTTTGCTATTGTGAACAGTGCCTTAATGAACATACGTGTACATGTGTCTTTATAGTAGAATGAGTTATAATCCTCTGGGTATATACTCAGTATGGGATTGCTGGGTCAACAGTATCTTATCATGGACGGTACAGGCAGAGATGAACTTCAGTAGAGTAATACAAGCGGTTTTATTTTACTCTATTTTCAGGGTTGCTTTCCTCTCTCTAAACACTGAGGGACATGCACATGGACGCCATTATTGTCAAAAAAAAAAAAAAAAAAGAGCATGCATCTATGAAAATATGATTCTTACTTATAACTGCCCCCCAGACTCATCAAACAAATGCAGTTGGCTGGGCATGGTGGCTCACACCTGTAATCCCAGCACTTTGGGAGATCGAGGCAGGTGGATCACTTGAGGTCAGGAGTTTGAGATCATCCTGGCCAACATGGTGAAATCCCATCTCTACTAAAAATACAAAAGTTAACTGGGTGTGGTGGCAGGCACGTGTAATCCCAGCTACTCGGGAGAAGGGGCAGGAGGATCGTTTGAAACTGGGAGGCAGAGGCTGCAGTGAACCAAGATCACACCACTGCACTCCAGCCTGGGCGACAGAGAGAGAACGTCTCAAAATAAAAATTTAAATAAATAAATAAAAATAAATGCAGAGAATCTCAGCAGATTGGATCTTTTTGGTACCTGGGAAAAGAGGACGTTTTTCCTTTGCAGCCCGATCATCCTTCTGAGGTTGAATCGGCCCTCCTAGCATCCCTTCTACCTTCCCCACAACGCAGAGTGAGGGGAGCAAAGCCTCAGACCACTAAGAGCTGCCCCAGCCATTGAAGTTCAAGAGAGCCAAGGGGTCTTGTGTACCTGGTTTTCTTCCTCCTCCAGCATTTTTCCCCAGTGCTGTTTCTATTTCCAAATTTCTTTGTAAAAGTGTTTCAAACACGCCGCAACGCAAACAGGGTGGCCTCCCCACACGCTGCTGGTACAGCTTCCCTTCCGACGCACAGGATAAGCCAACAGACTTGGAAGCACGCAAGCGAGCAACAGATCCATAGATATTTATTTCTTTCCAGAGCTGGTGTGAAGGAACACCCATGCTTTCAATACAAAGGGAACCAGCAGAAGCTCATGGAATCCGTGGCTGTGAGCTTCCCCCTCACCAAGACCGTTATATGTGTAAAACAGCTCCGTCTGTGGTTCAAATGCCTTCGTAAAGGAACACGTCCGCATGGCGCAGCAGCGTGACTTACGACAGCAGCAGAGGGTGCCTTGCAGTTTATATGACATGAACGTGGGGGTCTGCAGCCCTTCTCCCCTAATCACTAAACGCTGCCCACATGAAGGGGCCAAAGTTCTAAGATTTAAGAAAAAGAATGAGAGGAAAAACCCCCAAAGAGGAGAACATTGCAAACGATCTGAAAATGTACACCACAAATGTCATTTGTTCTGCAGATGCCAAGTTGTCAACATGGATGCGTTTTGGAGCAAACTGTCCTGGCTAGAAATGGAAAATCTGCATTCATTTCAGAGGACAAATAATTTCTCCCTCCCTCCCACTGGTTAAAAAGCAAAGATATTCTTTTTATCCTTGTAATATTATAAAACACGACACAAAAGCGGGCAACTTTTAAACAGGGAAAGTCCATTGAAAAGTATAAAGTCTCAGGCCGGGTGCGGTGGCTCACGCCTGTAATCCCAGCACTTTGGCAGCCTGAGGTAGGTGGGTCACAAGTCGGGAGTTTAAGAACAGCCTGGCTAATATGGTGAAAGCCTGTCTCTACTAAAAATACATAAAATTAGCTGGGCGTGATGGTGGGCGCCTGTAGTCCCTGCTACTTGGGAGGCTGAGGCAGGAGAACTGCTTGCACCTGGGAGGCAGAGGCTGCAGTGAGCTGAGATCGCACCGGTGTACTCCAGCCTGGGCGACAGAGCAAAAAGGAAGGAGGGAGGGAGGGAAGGAGGAAGGAAGGATGGAGGGAGGGAGGGGAAAAGTGTAAAGTCTCACAAGGGCAAAGTCCATTTGCGGCAAATGCTCCAACATCACGGACCTCTCAGGAGGAGAAATGGTCTCAGGAGATGCTCCATACACCTCTACCCACACACCCTTCCCATCGAAAGTTAGACCAAGCCTGCCACATCTGACAAGTCAACTACAAACAACTTGTGGTGCTTTTCTTTCAGGCTAGAAACCTTCTGTAGAACCGTTAAGCAAAGGAATATGGCTTTAATGGGTCCCTATGCTTTGTGAATGTGTGTTTACACACAGACACCATGCATTGGGGCCAATCCTGAGACCATATCCCTGAGGATCACTGTCCAGCAGTGGCTAATGTTTAAGCTGTCTTAGGACAGACACTCTGGGAAACACAGGACATTCTGGACTCAGTACTGCCGTCATTGGGAGACAGCTTTCACTGCATAAGAGCTGAAACACCTTGGGAGACATCCTTCAAAGAGTGGGGGCCGTAAAGGTGACCACTGTGTGAAGGTGACCACAGCCATGTGGGTCAGGGTTCTGTGCCCCCATACCACACAGTGCCCCAGCACAGGAGGATCAAACCATCCATGCATAGCTAGAACTACAGCTCAACCATAAGGGAGGCTGTGCCTCATTTCCACAAAAGGGCAAATAAGAAAAGCAAAATAAATAAGAAAGAAGTAAAAGAACCATGAAAAAAAGAAAAAACTCAAAGAAATAGGAAAAGAAAAAATGAAAAACGGAGAAGAAATAAAAGTAAAAAAAGAAAAGTAAAAGAAAATAAAAAGAAAAAGCAAAAAAGGAAAACAAGAAAAAATAAGAGAAAAAGAAAAAAATAAGAAACAAGAAAAGTAAAAGAAATAAGAAAAAGAAAAGGGCCAGGTGTGGTGGCTCACATCTGTAATCCCAGCGCTTTGAGAGGCTGAGGCAGGCAGATCATCTCAGGTCAGGAGTT